CATCCAGCCCTTGCTCCTCAGGATGCTTCAGGTTTGCTCCTCCTCTCATCAAACTCCACATTCTCTTAGTATGTTGAATGAATAACGTCTAGCTCATACCAGGGTGTGATTGATGACTGATGTTTTATTTCATTGGCAAGAATGTATATTCACACACAAAGGGATCTCACAGTCGGTCAGACTATGCTTTTGGTGGAGTGAAGGCCATTTCTGGCTCTGAGGTCCCTTGCGAACACCACTTATCTTTTACTCAGAGGTAACTAGTTCAGGGCTGATATGGTGGCCCAATAGTGTCAACGTTTCAGATTCCTTCCATCTTTCTGTTCTGCCATCCCTAGCACGAGACTTCAATGTTAAAGGTCACCTAATGGTTGCAAGATGGCAGCTGCAGTCATATTGTATTCCGGGAAGGATGATGAGAAAGGGGAAAAATTAAATAGAAAAATAAAAAGTCACATAAGGCTGGAGAGGTAAGCCAGCCAGGTCTTCAGCAGTCATGTGGAGGATAGGTGGAGAAGGGGCAGGGCATGCAGGAATTAACCTGGGCAACATGGAGACCTGGTCAGAAGGAATTGTAATGGCCCAAGGAAGACATGCTACAGGCCTGAATTAGGGCAGCAGTAGTATGAGTAGAGTGAAGAGAAGAAATTGAGATATCTAAATCATGAAGTAGGCAGGAGTTGGTGATTAGATGTGAGGGAGTGGAAGAAATCAAAGTTGATTCCCAGGTTTCTGGGTCCCTTTATGAAAAAATAGCAGGAAAAGCATTTGAACAATGGAGATGAATTGAGATTTGGACACGTTTTGAGTTCAAGATGCCTGTGGTACATATAGGTGGAGATGTCCAGCAGTCAGTTGGGTATGAATATGAAGATCGAGGAAGCAGTCAGGACTGGAGAATAAAGATTTTCAAATCCTCTGCAAATATCCACATCTCTAAGGTAAAACAAAGTGGATGCGCTACAGTCTCCCAGGGAGCACACATAGCCAAGGTTCTCCATCCAACCCAGGCAACACCAGATTATGAGTGGTTAGGGGAACAGATGAGAGGATGGCACAAAAAGACCAGGCAGGGTTCTGCTCTGCTGTATACAGGGTCACTAGGGGTCGGAATCGACCGGACGGCACTAACAACAACCGAGTGGAAAAGAATCTCAAGACTGAAAGGTCAAGGAACTGGAAGCAAAACCAGAAGAGAGTGCCATCTCAGGATCCAAGAGAGCTTCAAGCAGGGAACAGCTAATAGGATGCATATAAGATAACGCATGTGAAAGGGCTCTTAAGCCATCACAGGAAATACGCTTGGTAGCTGTTTTAAGCAGACACACTTTAAATATCACAGCAAGTCCTGATTTGAGACTCTCATTTGTATAGAGGAACCCCAGGATCTGGGCACCACCAGATGAGACTTATTCCCTGCCATTCCCAAGCCATCAGAGGATCCTGGTAGGGGCACATGTCATAATCAGTTATCACATGATATCCCCTGCTTGAATTTTATCTCATTCGTTCTTCCCCTCCCGAGTCAGCACAAGCAGCCCTGAGATGCAATACCTTCTTAGCCTGATCCTCAGCGAGTGTCTCATGGTCCCCCACAGAGGTCCATCTCTTGGAGAAAGACTGTACTTTGGGCCTGTTGTTCCTCCTGCTCCTTTCCATGGAGCTCTTAAAGCCGAAGTGATACATGGAAACTTCAAGTTACATCTTCACATAAAAATAACGGTGACTCTGGTCCTAGACTGGCCAATGTAAGCTTTTAAACCCATAACAGAGTTTTATCTTGGTTGCAAACAAGTCACAAGGCATGGATGTGTCCGGCTGGAGAGCAGAAAGTAGCCTGCGGCTGCAGCAGGACTGCGTAACCTGACAGTCGGGCAAGTGGAAGCTTGGCATGAGCACAAAAAAGTTTTGAAAAACATTTTAATAATTTCTTTTAAAAACGAAGAGAAAATCAGAATTCTTGGAGTTTCATATTGTTTTTGTTTCCGATAAACGGAGGAGGACACCTTAAACTTTCCGTTCCCGAGGTTTCAAAGGTCTTAATCTAGTCCTGG